TACCAGTCGCCACCCATGCTATGGAAAAAATGATCCTCACCAGGCACAGTAAAATGTCATCTACCACAGGAATTCCTCCAAAGCATGTTCTCATCAGAGGACCACAACTAAGCCAACTGCAGAATGTCACAGCCACCTCCTATCCAGTTCTCTCACCACTATTCTTCCCACTATTTCAGGAACCACTGTCTGACCAAAATTGTCTTTTTTGTGGAAGAGCCAGGATTTTAAGAGTCAGTACTTTTACATAGTTTTTTAGATTTTTACTTATAGCACAGGCTGGAGAGTTCCTTCAACAACCCTGGGATGGTAACACTCTGCGTCAGGAGTGGCACACTTAGTGGGCCAGAATGTCCTGGGTTTCCTTATTCTTATTCTGTCATGGCTGAGCTAACCAGGGTGGTGGAAGGGGTAGTAACCACGCCGGAGATAGAGGGAAAAGCAAGTAGTTAACCAGTATATACATGTGCCTAAAATATAAGAGACTGTAGAGCCAAAGCAGATGGGCCTGAAGCAGTAACTGGCCCCACCTGGAACAAAGAAGAGAACATAAGGGAATCATGGCCAAAATGTGTTCAAATATATCACTGAAAGTTTATAGTTACCTCAAGAGTTCCCAATAGTTGAGATTCATAAAGTCAGGAGCTGAGCTCCAGATCATTTGAATGCTGAACCTAAGTTTTCCCAACTGCAAAAGAGACCTGTATTATGCCCTCCTTACCTCCAAAAAAGTGAGCAAAAATACAGGATGTATTTTCTACTTTTTAAAACAGCAGTCCCCAACCTTTTTGGCACCAGGGACAGATTTCATGCAAGACAATTTTTCCATACACTGGGGTGGGGGTAGGGGGATGGTTTTGGGATGATTCAAGTGCATTATGTTCCTTGTGTAGTCAAACCTCTCTGTTAATGATACTCTGTATTTGTAGCCGCTCCCCAGCACTAGCATCACCGCCTCAGCTCCACCTCAGATCATCGGGGGCATTAGATTCTCATAAGGAGTGCGCAACCTAGATCCCTCGAGTGCACAGTTTACAGTAGGGTCTGCACTCCTGTGAGAATCTAATGCTGCCCACTGATCTGACAAGAGGCGAGCTTATGCAGTGATGCAAGTGATGGGGAGTGGCTGTAAATACAGATGAAGCTTCTCTCACTTGCCTACCAGCTCACCTCCTGTTGTGAGGCCTGGCTCCTAATAGGCCACAGACCAGTACCAGTCTTCAGCCCAGGGGTTGGGGACCGTAGCTTTAGAAGATACAAATCTCCTCAATCTATCGAAAAGTTTAACTCAACTTTAATGGAAACAGAATTTGGTCAAAGGAAACTTGTACTTTCTCTTTGTAGCAATGTTACACATTACAAAAAGAAAATTATTTTACAAAGAGTGCGACTCATAAGAGTCATAATTCCAAATGCCAACTATATTCAAGTTATTTTCTTTAATTTTGCTTTGTATTTTTCTAATAACAACATATACTGTATTATGCACTCAGTGCCTTCTTCAAAAATTGATTTACCAAGATGAGGAATGTCTGACCTCCCTTCTCATGACCAGTAACTCAGTTTTGGGGCATCCCCTTGACCAAGAGGCAGTCCATTCAGTCAGCTAGTGGAGGGAAGCCTTAAGATTGTATTTTAATTGATGATATTCTGTTTGATACTCTTCCCCTCAACAATAGTCTTACACTTTCATATTGTCTGTGAAAACATTTTATAATATATATTCCTTTGAAATTAAAACAAATGAGAAAAAAGTTATTTATCATCAGTATTTTTAAAAAATAAGAGAATCTCCTCAAATAACGATAAAAATAACATGGCTACTCTAGCATACTAAAGCCACCATTTTGTGACATCTCATGAACAGGATCAGAATCACTGGTATACTAATCACCATCAAGATGAAATGGTGGTATTCCCTCCCAGAACTTAATCCATCATCTTTATAAAGGAAAGATATAATCTACATAACTCCATCATGTTGTGAATCTATTTTTGTGAAAATACTTCCCAATTAATCCCATTAAAGTGATTATGATCTGAAGAAGAATCCAACATAGGTGTTTTAAAATGTAAAAAAAAAAAAAGGTTTTAAGAAGAAAAAGACACTAAAACTATCTTCCCACCATTAAGCTAATGGTTATCTATCCCCTTCCAGTAGGGAATATGACTTCCTATCAAGAGAACATGAGGCACACCTGTAATCCTAGCACTCTGGGAGTCCAATGTGGGAGGATCACCTGAGCTCAGGAGTTCCACACCAGCCTGAGCAAGAGCAAGACCTTGTCTCTACTAAAGATTGAAAAAATTAGCATGACACAGTGGCATGTACCTGTAGTCCCAGCTACTCTGGAGGCATATACAGTGGACCAAACTAATAAAACAAGTAACAGCTTTAACCAAAAACTCTACCAATGACCCAGACCAAAAAGAACCTTACTCTCGCAGAGATGAAAACTTAGTAAACGAAAATAACCTGGCCTTTGTAGGTAGGGTTATGTATAAATTGTGCATCCTCAACTTAATGGCAAGGTATCTGAGGATAGAAATTAATGGTGATAATAATTATAGAGGATTAAGATGAAACAGATTAAACTGGCAAGAAATATAGGGTTCAGAAGAGACTGTAGATTTGAATGGAGGAGCAATTACTAGGAGGCCTTGGGAAAAACCATGGCAGAGCTATGAATCTGTATCAAGCTTTCCAAATAATAAATTATATTTAGGATTTACTCAACTGGTGATAGTTTATATTCCCAATTCTCACACTGTGCTAAGAAGTTAATAGAGTAATCACAGAGCACAAGAAAGAAGTACCTAACTTAAGATTGAGGAATCAGAAAACCTTTCTCAGGAGAAGCAGCCCTATACTGAGATTCTGAAGGACTAGTAAATGGAGCTTGTAAAGGAAGGAGGGAACTAGTTTTCAAAAATCTAGCAGAAACAAAGAAAGAATGGCAAGGTCCAAAAACTGAAAATATGTCTATATGGCTGAACTCTGCAATATAAGGCAGAGGAAATGAGGGAGATGAGAGAAATAAACAGTAATAATTTCATAAAGATCCCTGAAGATATGTTAAAAAGTTTGAACTTTACCCTAAGAATGATGAGTTTTACACAGGGGAGTAATACAACCAGATTTAACATATTATTAACAGAAAGGTCACTCTAACTTAAATATGTTAAAAGGATTAGAAGGGGCAAGGCTGGAGATAAGCAAATCAGTTAACATACTCCTGCAGATGGTGGTGGGAAAAATTCCAGAAGAAAATACCATTAGTGGCCGGGCGTGGTGGCTCATGCCTGTAATCCTAGCACTATGGGAGGCCGAGGCAGGTGGATAGCTCGAGGTCAGGAGTTCGAAACCAGCCTGAGCAAGAGCAAGACCCCGTCTCTAGTATAAATAGAAAGAAATTAATTGGCCAACTAATATATATAGAGAAAAAATTAGTCAGGCATGGTGGCGCATGCCTGTAGTCCCAGCTACTCGGGAGGCTGAGGCAGCAGGATTGCTTGAGCCCAGGAGTTTGAGATTGCTATGAGCTAGGCTGACGCCATGGCATTCACTCTAGTCTGGGCAACAAAGCGAGACTCTGTCTCAAAAAAAAAAAAAAGAAAAGAAAATACCATTAGTGAACAAAATACAGAAGTAATATTCAGAGATAAAAAATTTTCTAGAATTGAAAAAATAAACAAATCCTCAGATTCAGGAAACACAACAAATTCCAACTAGGATTAAGAAAAAAATAAAAAGAATAAATCTACACCTAAACACATCCCAAAGAAATTACAAAAAGCATGAAAGACAAAAAGAGACTATTAAGAACAGCTAGAGACAAAAGACAAATTAACAACAATTGCACGAACAGATGACTTCTTAACAGCAACAATGGAAGCCAGAAGTCAGTGGAATGCTATCTTTAAAACAACTGAGAAATTCCTAAGAATATAATGCAAAATAAAACATATGCTCTAAACTGTGTATATAGTAATAATGAGTACTTACCTACCCAGATGGTAGTCTCTAAATACCACTGCCCACTAAAGTAATAGACCAAGGAGAAACTAATATAAACATAGAGGGAGATTTATTACATTGCTCTCAGTAACTAACTGAATAAGCAGAAGAAAAATCAGTAAGATACACATAAAATCTGAACATCACGTTAACAGTTCGTGTGTATATGAATATACATGTCGGTTTATGCATATGCCTACATTTGAGGCTGAAGTAAAAACTATAAAGGTGTGGCAGTGGAAAGGTATAGAATTGCTACAGGGAAAAGAAAGATGGTTATAATACAGGTTAGGGAAGTACTGGAGAGTATACAAAATGCAGATATGGTTCATGCAACAATTGAATGCCGAGATTATAGGAGACTACAACAGTGAAAGAAATGGAAAATAAGAAATCAAGCTTCTCCACTCCCACTGCTCCACTTGACCAGACTTTAAAAAAATAAATAAAATAAATAAAAAATTTTAAAAAAAGAAATCAAGGATAGGGCCTGGCCTGGTGGCTCATGCCTGTAGTCCTAGCACTCTGGGAGGCCAAGGCGGGAGAATCACTTGAGCTCAGGAGTTTGAGACCAGCCTGGGCAAGAGCAAGACCCTGTCTCTACTGAAAATAAAAAGAAAGAAAAAAACATTAGCCAGGCAACTAAAAATAGAAAAAATTAGCTAGGTGTGGTAGCTCACACCTATAGTCCCAGCTACTCAGGAGTCTGAGGCAGGAGGATCACTTGAGCCAAGGAGTTTGAGGTTGCTGTGAACTACTGATGATGCCACAGCACTCTAGCCCAGGCAACAGAGTGAGACTCTATAAAAGAAAAGAAAAAGGAAGGAAGGGAAGGAAGAAAGAAAGAAATCAAGTATAAACTACATTTATATTACTAAACCAGAAAGATAAACTGTCAAATGGAAGCCAGGTGTAGTGGCAATATAACGAGACCCTGTCTCAAAAAAAAACCTGTCAAATGATGAAAAACAATATATACAGCATAATTTCTCTTTATTAAAAAAAAAGGCTGTGTAAATGTGTGTATGAATATGTTTATATAAACAAACGTTTAGAATGATATGCATCAAACTGTAGAGGTGACAGGTGGTGACATTTGGAATTATTTGGAGAAAAGAAAGCTATATTTTTATTGTTTGCTTTAATGATTTGCTTTATATTTTGTTTTCCTTATTTACAATGCACTTGTGTTGCTTTTGTAATGTAAATGACATGTAAAAAGAAAGATTAAAAAGAAAAAACACAAAATAACTTCCTAATAGATAAACTATTCTACCAGTATTTGAGAGACTCCACAAAAGGAAACTTTTCTTTTTTTTTTTTTGAGACGATCACAAAACAGCAAAAAGGAAACTTTTAGAAAATAGATTTCCTAATACTCACCAGAACTGAGCAGTATGCTAAAATCATCATCTGTAGCAATTTTACCATGAAAATTTTCTAATCATAAAAGTTAACACATACTTATTAAAATTTATTCAACACAGAGTTTGTAAGAAAAAATCATTTTACCCCTATATCCCATCTAATTTCCTTAAAGGTAACCACTGTTAACACTTTAATATATATCCTTATGTATCATTTTCAATGTTCACACGCAGATCTTGATTTTTTGTTTGTTTTCGTAAAAAGAATTTTATACACGATACTTTATATCTTGTCACAAAATACAGGACAATTTTTAGATATTTACCTACAATTGCAAAAACACATTTTTTTTGTTTCATCTACGTGAAATGGCTTTATTTAGGTTTTTAAAATACTTTTGATTCTTTTTGAGTGAAAACACAAGATATAAAATTCTTTCTAGAACAGCTGGGCTGATAAAAACAACAAAATAGGACCCAGTAACAACCTGTTACCACAGGCTAACAGTTTTTTCTTTAATGGGTTTTTTGCTTTTTTGTCTTATTTTTACAATATATTTTTCTAAGCTACAAATCTATTATCAAGTTTGTTTAAATCATCAGGCGTCAAAAATAAGCCTAAGTAACCTAAGACACTACATGCTTCGAAGCCAAGCCAAGTCAGTGTTCCTGAGAAATCCCCAGAAGGCTACACGGGCTATCTCCCCAATGCAGCAGAGGGCTGAGTTAGATTCTGAACCACTGGCCTCAAATAGTACTCACAGAAACTACACAGTGCCCTACGAAGTCAACGTCTCCACCTGCATCTCAGGAAATCTTGGTCCCTAAGAGATAATAATCAGTTTTTGTCCAATCTAACTTTTACTATATATAGGATGGGCCTTTCACCAAAGCCCCATTAATGGTCTTATTGTATAAGGAAATTATAATAATAAAATCCAATTATCCTAAGATTTACTAACTTACTCTTACCTGTCATCTTTTTCCCTAATTAAAAACAAAATCTGTCTTCCTCACTGGAGCACTATCCTTCAGACAGTTAATTAGTTATAGCTTACTACTTCATCCTTGTCTAGAACCTAATCTAGGTTAAAGAAATTATAATGTGTAAAAGAGACTACACTAAGATCCTCTAACAACTATTATCATTATCCACCCTCTTGTGCATCCACCAAAATCCACTATACATATGTGTTGCTTAAATAGACACTGTACTTTTTTTTCTGTTTTGAAGAATAGACATGCTCATTCAAAGGCAACAGACAAAATACATTTAGGTTAACAGCATCCTATCTTCTTCAAAATTCCCTACAGTTCCAACTACTCTTTTTTTCCCCTCTCTCCAGTCTTATACACTGCCAGGAATATGATTGCTTCATGGCTCTAACATAATTAGAAAATATAAAAATAATATGACATGACCTTGGCAGGCACACATTTTCATTTAATATGACACAATTAGAGTATTACTTTTCCCAAAAGTTAACTTTTATCGCCAATATTCATTCAAAACTTACTTCTAATTCTTTTATTTTGTCTTCTGCTATTCTCTGTTTCTCTAACAGCTGATTGTGAATTACCTCCTTGGATTGAAGAATAAACCTACAAAACAAAAGAAAGTTGAAAATTAAGCCACATGACCACTGTATTCATCAAAATCAATAGCTTTATACCATAAATATTAAACCAAGAAAACCAAAAGGACCTCCCCTTTCAGCACAAACAAAATGCACTGTTATGTTAATGTGACAAACTCAGGAAACCACCATATGGTTTAAACCTTCCTGGCTGAAAAGAAATGATGGCTTCAAAGGAGATTCTGCTTTCTTAAGAAGGGAATCAGGCCAGGTGCGTGGCACCTGCCTGTAGTCCCAGCTATTCAAGAGGCTGAAGTGGGAGGATCACTTGAGCCCAGGAGTTTAAGTCCAGTCTGGGCAACATAGTGAAGGAAATTCAAGTAGATAAAAGAAAAATAATAATAAAGGAATACAAATCTATCACAGGCTAAGAGAAAAGTCAACATACAAACAATAAAAATCCCCTATAATTTTTATTTTTCAATTTTTGTCTAGATATTTTTTCAACAATATTTGTAAAGTAGAGCTCCCCTCCCTCTTTTTTTTTTTTCTCTTTTGGTAACAGCAGTAACTCATGACCTTTGAAAGTCACAATCAAGTACTGTGTTAGGATCAATGCATTAGTGTTTATATGGTTTCCTCACACAAAAAGCACTGTAAAAGCCCTAGTATCTTTTATTATTTCCAGAGTGTATAATACCTCTGAAAAGCTCAAAATATACAAGTGGAAAATTTCAACTTTTTCCATTTTACAGTCAGGCACATTATTTACTACTGATGAGGGGGGAAATATAGGGAAGCTTTAAAAATTAACACTGAATCTGTTTTGTGACTTTTTGTTCATAATTCTTGCTGCAGGGAAAGGAAGAACACACTTTTATAGTTTCAAGTCAGTGAACTGAAATATTTCCCTTCCACTGGAACCAAGGGAAAAACCCTAATTACTCAAATCTCTTTCAGGATTGTCTAACTAGGCTAAAATAGATTTCAATTAAAGATTACAATTAATTAAGCAAGTTCTTTCTTCTCTTTGCACTAAGAGTTCAGTGACAAAGAATTAAACATCTTCTCGTAACAAGAAAACATATCAAGGTAGCAACATACAGCTTCCTCTATGAACCCCATAAAAACAAGATTGTGCACAGGTGGGTTCTTACCAAGAACATGTGTTATACATAAAAGACAAATAAAAACAGACCAAAAAAGGACAAATAGCCATGCCCTGAGACCTGGGAGGAAACTGCTCTTTCTCCTCTTTTTCCCCCCTTATACACCTTGCCACACACATTAACACAATCTGATAAACTTCTCTTCAACTGTACTAAATATTACACTGATTATAATGTGGCCAGGCCAGATAATTTAACTGATGATCTTTTGTCTTCAGTAGTAACTTGATCCTTTGTAAAAACCTTACTTATATATTTACTGGAAAGATAGCCTGGATTCATGCAAAATAAAGATTACTTCTAGGTCTTTTATTATAGAACTCCATGTCTAAAATGTTCCTTTTTTTGAGACAGGGTCTCACTCTGTTGCCCATGCTAGAGTGCAGTTGCATCATCATAGCTCACTTCAGCCTCAAACTCCTGGGCTCAAGGGATCCTCCTGCCTCAGCCTCCTGAAGAGCTGGGACTACAGGCACGCACCACCATGACTGGCTAACTTTTCTATTTTTTTTTAGAGATGAGGGTGTCTCACTATGTTGATCAGGCTGGTTTTGAACTCCTGGCCTCTAGCAATCTTCCTGCCTCGGCCTCCCAAAGTGCTGGGATTACAGGTATGAGCCACCATCTCTGGCCTAAAATGTTCTTATTGGGTCCAACAGATAGGTGCTATTTCTGAAAAAATTGTAGTTTACAGAATATTTTTCTCAGAACTCATGCAAGTAATTTAAGAAGAATTGTTTTGAACTGTATTAAGTTTCAGTGATACCATATAAAAAGTATTGTAAAATAGCATCTAAGAGATTACCAAATCATGTCATTACATGTATGATTTTACTAAGTCTTTTAGTCATGGAAATAATTATCAGAGTAAAATATACATTTTTAAATAGCATCGATTCAGCCAATGAGTGCTATTCTCAAATAATAGGTCATCAGACATCGTCTTTATTAGCGTCTGGGAAAATTTCAAAGCTAAGATTAGAGGTCAAGTCATTACTTATGTGGCCTTTAAAAATAAAGTATCTGAAGAGATACTAAATCCCTTGAGCAGAAAATAAAATTACTAGAAAGCAAGAACACTCAACAACAAAAACATGTTTTTCCATGGCCACACATCCCTTGAGGTAGCTATATTGGACTGTGCCAACTTCAAAGGCCAGAGAGAATCCACCAACGCTGGCCAACCTAAGCCTAAGGACATCTCAGCCACACAAGTTTTAAACAAGGATGAGTGCTGGGTAAACTCAAATGTTTACCTCAAAGAGTAGTTACATAGTCAAAATTCAAACATAAAAACTATGAAAAGGTTGGTTTTGACCTCAATTCAAACAATGGCAAAGATAGGTTGTATGGAGATTGGAAAGGGCTCCAAGATACATATGATTTCTGAAAAAAGTCTCTGGAAAATATCTATTGTTTAAAAAGGCACTAAATTATCAGATACTATTTTGAACAGAAAGGACAGTTTCTCAAAGCAGAGAATCTCAAAGAGATCCTGCCTGTTTATGGAAAGGATTCTGGAGTTCAAAATGTACCACAAAGGAAAAATAAACTATGAAGAGGGAAAGTATTCTCATATGACAAATGATATGTAGATAATGTGTTCACAGTACTCAGGATTATATACCTGGACTGCTTTGTAAAAAGCCTCTTCTGCAACCTGGAAATCAATGCCATGTGGCTCTGCACTGTCCACTCTCTAGGACACTTGCAACCTGCTGTTTTACTTCCTCGTTCATGTGTAATTATGCTATCTGAAAAACATAATTCTCTGATGGCTTTTGGTTTTGATTATTTGAGAAATACCAGATGCTGTGTTCTGAATTGTCCTGCAGGCTGATACATGACTTTCACTTTCTTATAACTTGGCACGAATCAAAAGTATTGTTCACCTGCCCAAACACAATCTAGGAGCAGTGGCAATGCTGTCTTCCAAAGTATGGTCACATTGACATATGCTATTCAGGGACAACAAAATGCTAGTGACAGTGTATTTTGTGTGGGTGGGAAATTTTTACAGGATGTCTAAAAACATATCCTAACAGCATTTAGGTTTCAGGGCCTCCACAAATTCAGCAGCACAGAAAAGAATGAATAAGAATGAGCCTATCTTGCTCCTCTGCCTTGCTCCACTCGTAATAAAAGCTACTTGCACATCTACACAAAGATCTATGTGCAAAAAATTTTTACTTCATAATTTTTTAGCAAGGAAAAAAGTAGAAATAACTTAAATCCCTTAGTAGGAACCAATTAAAAAATTATGGCACTTCCACATTGTGGAATGCTCAGTGAGCTAGACACTTATGTTATTGGCACAATGAAGAAGAGAAACTCTGAACACTTCTCTTGTTTTGAATTAAAAACAAAGCAAAAAAAAAAAAAAGTTTTTAACATTTTGCTGAGCTAACACAAAGGAAAGATTCCACAAAGGCCCAACATGAGGCTGGGCACGGTGGCTCACACCTATAATCCTAGCACTCTGGGAGGCTGAGGCGGGTGGATCGCTTAAGGTCAGAGTTCGAAACCAGCCTGAGCAAAAGTGAGACCCCGTCTCTACTAAAAATAGAAAGAAATTAATTGGCCAACTAAAAATACATAGAAAAAAATTAGATGGGCATAGTGGCACATGCCTGTAGTCCCAGCTACTTGGGAGGCCGAGGCAGAAGGATCGCCTGAGACCAGGAGTTTGAGGTTGGTATGAACTAGGCTGACACCATGGCACTCTAGCCCAGGCAACAGAGTGAGACTCTGTCTCAAAAAATAAATAAATAAAAAAAATTATAAAACCTAGCACTTTGGGAGGCCACGGCAGGAGAATCGCTTGATATGAGGCATTCAAGATCAATCTAAGCGAGACCCTGTCTCTACAAAAAACGGAAAAAACAGGTAGGCATGGCAGCACATGCCTGTAGTCCCAGCTACTCGGGAGGCTGAGGCAGGAGTACTGCTTGAGCCCAGGAGTTTGAGGTTGCAGTGAACTATGATAATGCAACTGTACTCTAGCTAGGGCAATAGAGCGAGTCCCTGTCTCGAAAACAAAACTAAACTAAACAAAATAATTGAATACAGCATTAAGACCTAAAAGACAAAATTGAGTGTTCTAATATATGTGTAATTACAGACCCAAAAGGAGAAAAGACAGAGAATGGGGTAGAAAAAGCATCTGAAGAGATAATGAACAAGAATTTTCCAAAGCAACAAAAACCACCAAATCACAGTTCCAAGACATGCAAAACAAATACCAAAAACAAAAGCCCTAGATTTGGCATAATCGAACTACTAAAAACCAAAGATGAAGAAAAAAGTCTTGAAGGCAGCCAGAGAAACAAAAATAAGAATTACAGCCAACTCCTTGCCACAAATTATGCAAGGAAGATGACACTGGTGTGACATTTTCAAAGCACTGAAAGAACTATTAACCCAGCATTATATACACAGTGAAATTATCCTCCAAAAATGAAGGGGAAATCCAAATAACAAAAGCTGAGGTGTTTATTCTGGCAAATATACACCATAAGGAATGTTAAAGGTAGTTCTTTCATCAGAAGGAGTATGATAATACATGGCAACTTACAAAGAAATGAAAAGCACTGGAAACAGTATAAATTTGGATGAATAGGCATGTCTGTCTTATAATGACAATAAGAAATATCATTCTAAAATATATTGTCTAAAGCGGGATTGGCAAACTATGGTTTGCAGGCCAATCCACTAATGCTCATTTGTTTATATAATGACAATGACTGCTTTCTCACTACAGTGGCAGAGTTGAGAGAGAGTGATGATAGAGTATTATATGACCTGCAAAGCCAAAAATATTTATTATCTGGCCTATTACAAAAAAAGCCTGCCAATC